TTTCAACATCATTGCGACTCAAGAGTCGCATGGCAGCGAAGATGACGTTTTGGATTTTCTCCACATGACCAACAGCCAGTTTGAGTTTCGGGCCGCTTTCTTCGAGGACACGAGGAGGAGAGGAGGCGTAGTCACTTTCTTCCCGAAGGTTTCTTCCTGGGCTGGCTCGGGTGCTAGAGTTGAGTCTGAGATTATCGTTCCTGGGAGAGTACTGCTTACTGAGTTCGACTTAGGCACCTGCCAGAACGACACTGAGCACACGCACATCATGCACTATACATAACTTTGGCTTTAACGCACGACAGATCACAGATGTCAAGCGCGTTATCCAGCAGCACATAGACATCGCACGTCGTCGTCCTGACAGATAGTACGTCGTCCTGGCAGGCGATTTCAATCTAGCGGCTGAAGCACCTAGGTCGTCGGTGCCCCCAGATAACCTGGATGCCCATAGTTCCCTGGCCCAGTGGCGAAAGCATATAGGGTCCCCGTGGCACCCCCTCTTGCAGCAGCTCCTGGAGGTCCCCTCGGATGAGTTCACACACTACAATGGATATTCACAGCGCGCACCTAAGATCGACAGGGTGTTTCTGGCCGCGCCTAGTTGGCTCCTCACTCAGATGCACGTCTCGGCAAAAGTGAGGGACCTCCCCGAGACGCTGGAGCAGAAGGGCACCTCTGATCATGCCCCTCCCCAGGTCACTTTTCAGCATCGGCCGCCGCAGCCGAAGGACTCCCAGCCTATCCCAAAGTCGATATTCAAACATCCTGATGATTAACGCTTCTTGGAAGAATTCTGGGTAAGCTGGATCTCTCCCTGTGCTCGCCCCCTGTCCGCACGCGGCTGCACAAAGAAGTGTTGCGAGAAGCTGCCAGGTTTACCAGGAACGCGATGTTCTCAGGCGACCCGACGAACGTTGCGAGTAAGATGCTGCTACTCCGTTCTGTTGCTCGCGCCGTCTGGCACCAGGGTCTTCAGCTTGCGAAACGATGATCACGATACGAACTTGCCCGCGAACATCTATCGATCGGTCCAGACACGCAACGCATCTCTCTGTGCAGGCCCGCTCTTTTTGCTGAATCTTCGGATGCACTTCACTTTGCTGGCGCTGAAGAAGAGCAGCGTCGTGCACGGGACCAGCCGCATCGCACTAGCTTGCTGGCCTCGCAGGCTAAAGTGCGCAAGCGGCTTCGTCTACTCGCTGAGCGTAGTAGATCGCGGGCGCCCTTCGACAAATCCGTTCGCCTTGTGGGGTTGCGGACAGACACGGAAATATTGATTTTTCCCTCTGGCGTTGCCCGAGCTATTTCTCAACATTGGGGGTCAGTATTCGCCCCAAAAGAGATTGAAAACACGGCTGCCGACGTTTAGCTCACCCGTTTCAAGAACTCCTCCGACCTCAGAGACCCCCCCCCCCCCCCCCCAATGTATCACGACGTGCAAAGCTACATAAGAAAACAGACACATTCGGGCCCAGGTCCAGATGCTCTCCCTCATGGCGCTTGGCAGGCCTCAGATCTTGGGACTCAAATTTTACATGGTGTACTTTGGTGGCAGTTGGAAGGGAACCCCATGCCCCTGGGACACAACATGCTTCTAGGCGTAGTCGTTCTCAAAGGAGAAGAGCCCGAAGACGCCCCTCATGGAGTTTTCAGACATCCCTCCGATCTTCGCCCTCTAGGCCTCAAAACCACGGACAACCAGATAGTAACGGGTGTGGCTTTCCGTCGACTGAAGCAATCATTACATCACGTGGTCAATCATATCCGGCGCGGCTTCGTCGCGTCTCGAAACTTCGGCAACAACAATATACTCTATGCAAGATGACGTCTCCGTAGCCATGCCTCTCGTAGTGGGATGCGATTTTGGCCAGGCCCTTCCCAGTCTTGCCCACTGCTGGGTTCTGAAAGTTCTCAATGCCATGCTGCTGCCGATGCCGCTGGTGAAGTTCACAGAAGTTCTCTTCTCTGGTGTCTGCTGCTACGGTGCGGTTGGCGCTGAGCTCACACTTCTCTTCTGGATCTGCAGTGGGATAATACAAGGCTGCCCGAGCTCGGGCTGCCTGTTCGCGTTGTCGGCGGGCCCGTTCATGTCCAACGTCGACCAATCCATTTGTCTGGAAGACCGTGGAGTGGTCCGCGCTTGTGCTGATGATGTCGGCGCTGCCCTTCGTCGACTGGAGCATCTACGTATCATGCGCCGCATCTTCTCTATGGCCAATCGAGTTGCTGCACTTATATTGAAGTTGAAAAAGTGCGCCGTCGCCCCCCTGAGCGGACCCTACACGCCGGCTCTCAGACCAGAATATCAAGCAGCGATTGCACAACTCGTTCCAGATTGGACTCAGATTCCTGTCAATGATGTTCCAAAGTACTTGGGAATGTGGCTTGGACCTGCGGCTCTCGACCACAGCTGGCGCTCACCGATTGCAAAATGGAGGTCTCGCACTCTTGAGCTCGCCCTGACAGGCGCCCCACCCCGTGTCATCTCACATATCTATCCTGTCCGTGCTTCCTCTGTTCTCTCTTACGTCTCTCAATTCCTTCCCCTCCCGAGCACCGTTTGCCATAAGGAGGCGACGCTCTTAGCCGCATTATACCATACTCCGTTCTGCGCTCTCCCCCGAGAAGGTTGGTTCCAGCTTCTGCGCTGGGGTGGACCAAAGGCCCCCAGCCTCATTGCTCAGAATGCGGCAGCCCTGATGAGAGCCGCAACTCTTCACTTCACTGTTTGGCGTTCACTCATTCCCCAGCTCAGTGCTGCTGCTGATCAGTTCCTGTCCCTGCCAGAGATTGCGCTGCACAGGATGTCGCCCCGCTTTTGGTTGCAGCCGTCATTCGCAGCGTTCCTTTAGTCGGCAGCGGAAGGCTTCCCCCAGCCGGTTGGCACGCCTCTTTGCACCTCTTCCCCTGTCCTTCGCCCCCGTATTGCGGCTGCTGCTGCCCCTGCTCTCTCCCACGTCCGCCCCCTCCTCGACAACCCTGAACCCGCCCGCAAAATCCGAGTGCAAAGCCTGTTATACCAATATATAACTACTCACATGTATCACGATACGCTTGTCTTGACTTGTGCGTCGCGTCTGTCGAGCTGGCTCCCGATAACGATCGAAGAAGCCACGAATCTCCCATGGCCACAGATTCGAGCGACGCTGGTACAGATGTCTCCCACCGCCGCTTTTCAAGTCTTTCGTTTGCTCATGGGCGCGTGGACTACCGCCCGTCGATTACAGCAGGCTGAGCCGCGCATGTGCTGCCACGGCCCTTCCGACTCTCTCGAGCATGTCTGGTCTTGTCCTTCCTTTCTCGCCTTGCTCTCCTCTGTCCTTGTTGAGTTATCGTGTCCTCCGCTCCCCTCTTCCCCTGTTGTTCGCCTTGGTCTCTCTGATCCATTACCTGCCACTTCAATTGTTCCTGCAGCCGCCACGCTGCTGTACCATCAGCTTCGCAGCATCCACACTGGTGCAATCATCCGCCCCGAGAGGGCCCAGGCAGCGGCTCCCACAGTCAGGTTCCAGCTGCGCCGTGCATGGCGGCGTTGAGGAGTTGAACCAGCGCGTCCGCCTCGGCCACGCGCGAGGGATGGAGCAGCCCCGAGGGGACAGATCTCGCAAGAATCAACATGATGCGGTGGTCATGAGGACCGTTTTGATGGTTCCAGACTCAGACGGGTGACGCCATCCCGACTGAGCACCACGGAAGGCCACCGCACCCTGGAACAAAATTGGCAGGACCCTCGAGTCCTCTCGTCACGGAGTCGGACACAGTCGTTAATCATAGACAAAGTTGAAATCAGGCGCTGCAGCTGTCGGCACAGACGTTCATGCCACAGGAGACGGGATGATCGCTACGACTTAGAAAACAGACTGACTCTCAGTGAACTTCCTGGCTCCGTTACTGGGCCCCGCTCCGCGTCGGTATTTCTGGAGCACTTCGATACCTTTCCGCGAGTGTCGCCCCCACACGCACTACTGAGTTTCCGGGCACGGCTCTGAGCCCAGCGCCCACAACGAACGCAAGGAGGAGGAGGAAGAGGAGGAGGAGGAGGAGGAGGAGGAGGAGGAGGGAGACGGCGGCGGGGGCAGCAGGAGAGCGAGGCGAAGAGCGCACACCAGCCTGCGCACCTGGCTGGCGAGCCGTGCCTCGCCTGCCCCGCCCTTCCCCGCAGCGGCGGACGGCGTGCGCCCTGGCGCCGTCGTCCCGGTCCTTGGCGCCGTCGTCCTGGCGGGGTGCGCCGCGGCGCCGTCGTTCTGGCGGCGGCGCCCCGGCGCCGTCTTGGCCGCGTACGCCCTGGCGGCTCCTCGTCTTTGTCGTCGTCGTCGTCGTCCTGGCCGTCGTCGCCGGGTGGCCAGGTCCACAGAGGGCCTCAACGACCACGAGCCCAGGGACTGACCTCTCGCCCTGGGCGGATGCTGGCAAAGTCCTCCCCCCATAAACTGTTGCTTCCATCGCAGCGCCCAGCCGAGAGCAGGAGCAGCGGACGGGGGCGGCCCCAGACGGGGGGCCTTGCAGTCACCAGTACGATGGCATCGTCGTCGGCGCTGGTGGAGTCGTCGGCCCCATCCTCGCCGCCGCCGACGACGACGACGACGACGGCGCTGGCGCGGGCCGGCACAGCCTCCCTTCCCTGCCTTCCGTAGCCATTTTGGCTCAAGGCCGTCTCCCCCCCCCGCAGTGGGCCGCCGCCTCCCCCCCTTGCGCTCGCCCCGCCCAATGGCGGCTGCGCCGGCGGAGGGCAGGAGCAGCCCGAGCGCGGGCGCTGGCGCAGGCTGGACGGCCCCGGCGCTTTTTCCGCCGGTGCCCATTCGGGGGCGTCCAAGAGGGGAAGAGGACCGTGGCATAGGGATGTGGATGTCATGGCCGGGGCCGGGAAATCTCCCAGATCTCACGCCGCCCTCGTATTCATTCCGAGCGTTCCCTGCCCCTCCCCTCGTCCGCGCACCTGCCTCGGGCCATGATGCGCTAACCCCCCTTCCTGACCCCCCTCTTCGGCGCTCCCGACCCATGCCCCCGCACCGCGACTCCTGCCTGCGTGGCTGTGCAGCGGAGGATCGGGGCTTCGGGCTCCCACCGGCGACTGACAGAGGCTCGGACGGGTGGCTCCTCTGGGCCTGGGAGGCCGCGTGGCGAAGCCCCCCGAGGCCTGGAAGACCAGCCGCCCCCTCCCCACGGTGATGGCAGGGTGGGAAGCCGGGGCCGTGAGGAAGGCCAGCCGCGGCCAGCGCCGCCGCCTCGGCCCGGCCCACCGTCCCCGTGGCAGGTTCGGGCGTTGCGTACAAAGGGGGGGGCGATGGAGGGGGGGAGGGGGGTGAAGAAAGGTCCACCCTTTGTGCCCCAAAGGGGCCCCAAAGGGGCCCCTTGGACCCCAAGAGGGGCATGAGAGGTGCACGTCGTTTCGGCCCCCCGCCCCACTGATCGCCCCCCCCACCCATTGAGCAACGCCCGACAGGTGTGCGCGGAGGCCGCGCGAGGCCTGCTGCTCGCGGTGAGGCAGGCGCGCCCGATGCTGCAGGCCTGCGGCCCCCGGCCGTGCGGCTGGGGCGGCCCGCACGAGTCCGCGGAGCTCGCCGAGGAGCCGGAGAAGCAGGTGCTCCGGCGGCGGGTACAACGGGGAGGGGGGTCCTCGTCCTCGTCCTCGGGGGGTCCTCGTCCTCGGGGGGTCCTCGTCCTCGTCCGCGGCGCCCGCGGCGCCGTGATGGAGGCTCGTCCTCGTCCTCGGGTCGGGCGTTGCTAAAGGTGCCCCTGGCCCAGGGTGCCCCCAGCTTGTCGCTAGATCTTGGAGCCCCTGGGGGCCTCTGGGCCTCGTGAGGGGTGCTCTGGAGGCCGTGGGGGCTCCTTGGAGATCCTGGGGGTGCCTTGGAAATCCAGGGGCGCTTCCAGCAACACCCGAAATGGAGAGGGGGGGCAGGCCTTCTGTCACCGAGCGCGCCCCACTCCTCGCAAAGTGCCTACTCGCAAACGTCCGAGAAAAAAGTGCCTACTCGCAAACGTCCGAGAAAAACACATGGTTGCCTCGATGCAACGGATCGTAAGTCCCCCGCGGCGGATCCATGCCATTTGCGAGTATGTACCTTGCGAGTAGTGAAACGCGCGTGTCTAGTCCGAATGCGTGAAGGGGGATATGTTCTTGTAGTTTTCTATGTCCCTCCTTTGCCTGGTCCAGGGCCATCAGAAACGGACCCGCGGCGAAAACAGACGTCCTAGGGAAGCAGTCCGAGAGCAAAGGGCGAGGGGCGCACATCCAGGTGTGGGGTCGGAGGATCGCGCCGCATCGCCGAGGCATCGGCGATGGGGCTCGATGTGAGTCCCAAGTTTCTCAACGCGGTCGTCGCCGACGCAGCGCCGACGTCGCAGATGCATCGGCGATGCATTGGCGGTGCGGCGCGGTGCTCCGACTTCACCTGCTCGGACCACACTCGGGAGGCCCGTAGCACGAGGGGAGGCGGGAGGGCCCTCTGAAGAACACGCTGGGGGGGGGTCCCCCTCTCGGGGAAGCACCTGGAGGTGCTTCTGAGAGGCAGGGCGCCGTCCCATCGACTCGCCCCGCTTCCCGTGCGGGCCTGCAGGTGTCGCCCGACGGCGAGGTCACGTACGAGTGGAGCGGAGTGCTGGCCCGGCGAAGGCTCGGCGCAGAATCAGCCGCGGGTCCGTGAGGCGAGACGCCACTTGAATGCTTGTTCCGGGGGCGGGGGAGGGGGGAGCGGGAGCCAACGGGGGAGTTCACAGCGTCGGCGCAAATACGGGCTGCATGATTGTGCGTCCTCCTCGGACTGTCCTCCTCCTCCCTCCTCCTCCTCCTCCCTCCTCCTGCGGGCAGAGGGGGTGGACGGGCGGAGCACGGAATCGCCGGAAGGCGCAATCCTATAGAGGCGGAGCCAACAGAGCTCGCCTGGGCAGCCGCGCGCGGTGCCGTCGCGTCCGTCACGCGACAGGCCTCGTCGCGCTGCCCACGCCGGACGGACAATGAGTCATGGCGGCATGGGGGGGTGGGGGGGAGGCGCTCAGTGTCGCTCCTGCGGCTTCGAGGAAGGACAGGTGGGAGAACAGAGCGCGCAGGAAAATAAGCACAGGCAGCAAGCATGCATTATTCCTCCTCCTCCTCCTCCTCCTCCTCCTCCTCCTCCTCCTCCGCCTCCTCCTCCTCTTCCTCCTGCTCCTTCTCCTCCTCCTCCTCCTCCTCCTCCTCCTCCTCCTCCTCTTCCTCCTCCTCCTCCTCCTCCTCCTCCTCCTCCTCCTCCTCCTCCTCCTCCTCCGCCCTCCTCAGGCTCACCAGTCTCATCCCACCATAATCCCCTCCTCATCCTGCCTCACCGTCCTCATCCTCCCCCTCTCCCCATCCTCGCACCTCCTCGCTCTCTGTTCCTCCCCACACCTATCTCCTGCCTCCTCCTTGCTCCCTCCTCGTCCCGCTGCTAGTGGAATCTGAGGTGGTCGCCCTCTCTGAGCACGACCTTAGTGATCGCGTTCCTGTCTGCCTCAAGCTCCGAGGCCGCTCGCAGGATCAACAGCACACACTGCCATGGCTCACAGCTGGAAGAAGTTCTGTTAGCTTTCTGGAAGAGATGTGTGCCTCGCTCTCTCGTCTTCGCGCTCGGCTCGGCTAAGACACGCTGCCGCACCTGGAAGCAAGATATGATGGAGGCGGCTATGCAGGCTCGTTCGAGATTCTGCTACGGCCCAGGCTGGCGTGGATCCATCCTTGCTCACTCAGTGCACTCGCCAGGCTTCGTGCGTTCAACCCGTATCTTGGGCCATCTGGCGTTGTGATCGGAACTTCGGGAGCCAACTGGCTTGCTCAGCGGGGCTGGTTACGGGCGTGGTCACATCGACGACTTTACCGTTCGACTCCCCCCGTGGCGTCTAATCGGCCGAGTGGGCGGCTAACAGCGCGCACTTCTCGGAACAGCCTCGACGAGTTGCCCACCGAGTGAGTCCATTTGCGGTGCGTGGCGCCGGCGAAGGCGCACTCGTTTGGTTACTTGATTTCACGCGGGATCTCTGCGTTGGGACCCACGCCAGCGGGCGACTTACAAATCCCGTCCGCTCAGCCTGAGTAGCACAGACTCCGAAGTGGTCCACGGTATCATCAAGCATTGTTCGCACAGCACTACGTCGCACGAGGCACATGGAGCGCAACAGGGCTTCACCGATGGGCGCAACTTCACTCGCCGCGTTGCGGCGACCGACGGTACTACTCGCTGCGCTTCGATTCGCAGCTCGCATTCTACAGATAATTGTCCTGAGGGAGATGAGCGCTCTCACCCACGACCGCTCCAGTGTGGTTGATGGGCGTTCCCGTTTATATCACGGCGCTCGTTTTCTACCACATCCTGAGTGTTGTTTTCTCGTGATTTGTGGGTGCCACGTCTCCGCCGCAGTCCTCGTCCTTCCCGCCGCTTCCCTCCCACTCATACTCACTCACCCTCCGTGCACGCTCACACTCACACTCGCCCGTACACCCATTATCACTTTTCACCTACACTCAGACTCACTCATCATCATCATTACCACTCACTCTCAGCCTCGCCCATGCAGACACAGTCATATTCAGACTCCTCGTTTATATTAATCGCTTCGCTCATGCCGCCGGCCCTGGAGCCCTCTTTAAGGCCTCTTGGGGGCCTCTAGGGGACCTCTTGGGAGTCTCTTGGGGCTCCTTGGCGGCGTTTTGGAGGCCCCCAGGGCCTCTTGGGGGGCTCTTGGGGGTAGTCGATTGCGGCTCCCCCCTCGGAGGCCACGATCCTCGTGAGGGGTGTCGAAAAATACCCTCCCCTGAGTGGTCTGGTGGCTTCTCCCGGGCTTCTCCCGGGACCTTGCCGGGGTACTTATCGTCCGGGGGCC